TTATTTACCATTATCAAAGTCTGTCTGCTTCTTGAACACCTATTAAAGCCATGTACTGGTCGCGAAAACCTCTTGTTTCCTTTCTTGACCAACACCCTGATGTTTAGATGTCATTAAGACGATCATGACCAACTCTTAAGCCAAATCATTGGGAGCAACCCCCTTCCTACACCCCAGGCGGGCCACCCCTGGCTACAATACTGTAAAATAACAGGAAATGGGTTTCCATATACATTGATGTTCGATAGTGTCAGTGAATCGTTGTCATCCTTCATTCACATTTTGATTTTACTCTATACCCTCTAATATTCTGAATATTTATTAATGAATGTCCAACTGTTATTAAAGATCTGATACACTTATGACTGTATCGTTTTATTATTACAGTTATGGAGGTTCAGCCACAAGGTCACATGAGGCCACCACGGACGAGGGCAAATCAGCCTGAGGTGATAACACTTCGCACCAGGATTGTTGCATATCACGAGGCAGGGAAGGGGATACAGGAGATTAATCGCCTTCTCGGTATCTCCAAGATACAGTTAGGCTTTGGGTGAGGCGACATCAGAAGGAGGGTCACGTGCTCACCAGGCCCCGACCAGGAGGGACAAGTCACCACGCCTGAGGAGGATCAACAGATACGAAGGGAAGCAGAGAGAGCACCACTCTCAACTGCCGTGCGTATAACAAGGATAACAGGAGTTCACTGTCACCGGATAACTACCAGGAGGCGTATACGGGAGACTGGCCGACAGTGTTTCATCGCAGCACGTAAGAAAACCTTAACAGAGGCACACAGAGAAACACATAAAAGGTTTGCTGAGACGTATGCGGATGTGGGGGGTTGATTTTTGGAGATCTGTTATTTTCCCCGATACAAAATGTTTTACATCTGTCGCAGCAGTCGGTCGCCAGTGTTGACGAATACGTAAAACAAGATATGCTCGAATAAACATCCACGAGACATCGACGAGCGGTCGTGTGACAACCTCCATGCATGGACGGATGTGGTAGGGAGATGTAGGTGAACTGGTGGACATTGAGGGACCTATGACTGCAGACCAGTATATAAATATTCTAGGGACATCCTTTCTCCCATCGGTGCGGGTATATGCCATTCCAGAGCCTCAACCTACAGTATATATATAGTCCAATACACTCTGTACAAGTCGCGCAGCCAGGCGTTGGTTTGAGGGCCACCCAGAGATTATTCTATTGGATTGCCATCCCCCCCCCCCTAAATGGGCCGACTGTAACCCAATAGAGAATCTTTGGGCGCATATGGTTGTTGAATGGGGTGTGAAGGAGAAGACTAGGGAGGCAGTGAGGAGACAGGCAAGAATGGTGTGGGAGGGAATAAGGAATAGGCCGGACATTTGCAGCAATCTGGTAGATTCCATGCCTACCAGACTCCATGAAGTTATAGCAGCAAATGGAGGTTGGACAAGGTATTAAACTGTGTTCTTACTACACTTCACATATATGTGTTGCAGGATGTAGCCGCACACCCATATCGCTTTCGAATTTTTTCACACAAGTTTTAAATGTTATGGACAATTGTAATGTTTACAATGGATACATGTTTGTACAGAATTCGATAAAATATTTTTGTGGTTTCATTTAACCAACAGTCATGCCTACAAAACAATCTTGATGCTCTGTGTGTGTGTTTGTGTATGAAACGAGTAATTGATCCACATTTACATTTAGTTTTGGTAAATATATGGGTGAAAGACATCACACAGGCACTTGGATATAGTTACACGGAAAAAGGGAAATAAGGGTAAAGGTTGGGTGTGGTGGAAACATGTGCTCCGGCACTATGCTCAAAACGACGTATGGGAGAGCTATCTCGGACGGTAAATGGATAAATATATTATGAAACATCTCAAATACTAATAGTGAAGCATGAATGTTACACACACACACACACACACACATGACATTACAGCGTAAGTTACCTCTTGTCTAGCTTGTGCGTTGGCTGGTTTGGAGTTGCTTCGTTCGAATCTTACTTTCGAAATTACAAGCTAGGAGAGGTTTCCTTCATTTCCATAATTTACAATGATTTTTGAAGGGTATAACATGCAATATACTAATACATATTGTCATCTATGCATCCATACTAGGACTGCTTACCATTATACATAGCAAGATGAGTACAACATGGCAGACTGATAGCGAAGCTTAGAAGGGTTCATAACTTGTGTGTTCTTGGCGTGTTGCCCGCGATAGTTAGCGTGGCCAGCCGTTCAGAAAGGACCTGGTCCTCAACTCCAGCCCGACCTGGGTGGGCTAGAAATTGCGGTTTCCGATTGTACAACTGACTATGGCAGCCAAATAAAAAAAATTTGGTGGTAAAAACTGCAATATGTTTAAGCAAGGACACGAGTAGTAGGTATACTGTACAAATGATGCAGACTTCCCATATTTGAGATGGAAATCTTCAGTCGCAGTATGTTTGCGTTGTGTTAGAGGTGTTCTGCATCTGAATAGGAAACCATTCGATGTGCTTTGGACAATAGCACATTTGGTTTTGATTAAAAAACTAAATCGCCAAAACAAAGGTAAGATTAAATTAGGTAAAGTTAGGTCAGGTTTCCTTATGTTTGGTTTGATAAGTTTTTACGTATTTTAACTCCACAGTTTCTCTCGACTTCAAAACCCTGTCCACTATGTACAATCAAAATTGTACGCGCACACACACACACACACACACACACACACACACAGATGTATTTGCCTATGAGCTGGCAACAGTTTCTCCAGCCTTAATCCACGATGATGGAAGCATGAGAAAATTTTCGAAGTTAGTGCTGGCAAACATATCATTCAAATGGATCCAAATATCACTGCAAAAAATGAAACAAAATGCTGCCAGAGTGATTGATGGTTGTGGTACGCAGCATCGTATAATTTGGCCAAAGATCGGCACCATTGCTTCAGTTTGTGATTCATTTGTCTCTGCAGTTACTCGTGAAAAAACACCTGTAGTACCTGTATGGGTAATCTTTGTTAACTATGATGTCGTGACAACCAAAGAGCCAGAGCAAAACCGACGTTGGCTTCAGCAGTCATCATTTCATGATGTAGTGGTTGAAGAAAAGACACCGGTTCCACAAAACAAGGCAGCTTTCCTTTCCAACAAAAGAAAACAAGTCGAGTTTAATAAAACTTCTAGTGTATATGTGAAGCATGCTGAAGATGAAGGGGATGCTGCTGATGTGATAATCAAAAGGCCCTTGAACTGGCACACAGTCAGATACCCGTTCTTGTCATTGCAGATGATACTGTCATTCTGATCCTCCTCTATCATGCCTGGTATACAAGTGATATCTTCCTAGGCACAAGGCCATACACAGTCTCCACTAGAATTGCGTAGGAAGTTTTGGGAATAGAACTGTATGTGTCTCGTGTTTGCTCATGCTATGTCTGGTTGTGACAGAACCTCAGCTTTGTATGGCATGGGTAAGCTTAAGCAGCTTAAAGCCTTGCAATCATCACAACAGCTAAGGTCAGATGTGCTGATTTTTGGTGATCCAAGGAGGAGCTACGAATTGTTGGGGAGCAGTTTGTTGTCGAGCATTATCATCCGGAGGGTTAGATGAACTACGTTATGTGTATGTGATATCACCAAAATATATGTGTGGAACGTATGCCTCCAACAAGTAGTGCAATGTACAGTAGCTAAAACAACTATCTGTGCAGGTGGGGGTCGATATGCACCGAAATTTTACGTGTGACTGGTGACAGCCCTCATATACCAAAATTTATCGTCTATGGTCTCATATTGTTGTTTTAGCTACTGTACTTCCACAGTCTTGAGTACATCATCAAATATCCACCTGGCGACGCCGTGGCTCAGTGCTCAACAAGGAAGGCTATGGTTTTTCAGTGGAATCTGGCCATATTCTTACAATTTTCACAGATAAACCACCAGCACCCCCTGACTTGCTTCGCCATGTGAGGTGTTCTTGTAAGAGCAGTGTTAGATTGTGTGTGTCTTGCGGCTGCGCCAAGAAAGGAATCCCCTGTAGTGCTCACTGCAAATGTGCAGGACAGTGTGAGAACTCTCCGCTTAACTTGCAAGTTACTGACTCTGTAGAGGACATCTTTTTGTGATCAGATTAAGGACAACATCTTCCCATTCATACATATGCATATTTTGTAAACAGTTTTAGTCCTCGCACTGTGTTATTTTGTGTCATAAATTGTATAACATAGCACTGACAGTTAACCCATCCAACATTTATAGGCCTGTGTGTAGATTTAATAATGTAGAGTGTAAAGTATTGGGACTACGGTTGTTAACTGCAATAAATATTTAGTGTTTCCATACATAACTTCAAATGTGATAACTCCTAAAGAAATATAAGTCAGTTTTCGTTATTAAATAGCGTGTTTAGTTACCTTTACATTAAGCTTGTATTGTCAGTATGCATTTTTTACAAGTAATGACACACACTTTTATCTATTTAATTATTATTTCAATCTTTTGAAGCTAATAAAATACAATACATATAATTTGAGAGATATATACAACATATTATTAAACCATTAATAAACTCTCTATACCATGGGAGTTATATAAATAATATTAATCCATGATTTTCTTTCATATTCATGGTCGTTATGGCGTCCACATTGAATTTCATTTAAATACATATTTCTCCAGTGGTGAATTTGGAAACATTTGGGGGGGATGTTTTTTTGCCTCTATACAAAGCACTTTGAGCATACATTTGCTTATTATATCAAATGTCCGGGTTCCTGTCAATTTCTACTGGACTACCGTTGGGACATGTGATACACCTCTTTACTCCATGACATAACCTGACCTTCATTTCTGGTGGACCACTAGACATGAAGGTCAGATTCTTTTGAATCGCCATCAATTACATAACAACAAAAAACTTTTTTTGTTAGTGATTCCCGTGTATGTACTATAGCAAATCATTACCCTTACATTTCATCTCCTTTAAAACTGGAATTAACATTACCTTTCTCTGCTGCACCTTCAGCTTCAGCCGCTCAATTGTTTCTTGATCAGTGTTGAAAGTGTCTTGGAGGCTCTGAATCACTTGAGACATCGTCACACTGACCAAGCGAGAGGAAACGTGGCTGAATTTTCTACCTGGTATACAGTGCGCCATTCCTGCTGGAGCACTGGATACATCCCATACTCCATCTTCACCCATCAGAGTATCAGCACAGTATAGTACATCTGTCAGTAGTTCTTCAGTCTGTTGAGAGGAAAGTGTATCTTATGTAGTATACTGTATGTCCCAGGAAAGGTGTCGGAAATTTGGGAATAGCAATGTATGCATGCACATTGGTGGTAGGACTGTAAATCTTATGGTAATGCGTAAAATCCGGAACAAACTACTTATAATTGTTGTTTAGCAAAAGAATAGGAGTATTCTATACACTAAATCAATGGCATATCCTGGTATAAGTGTATCACAAAGGGATTATAAAATTTAGACCGTGTTACTAACCATGAATGGCGTCTGATGTTGTAGGACGCCTCAATACATGTTATAACCTGAGATTACTTATATTAACATGAGATGTATTGGCCAAAACATTGTCCCGCCAGTGAGAACACGGTCGGGTTTTACATAGCCCGAATGAACTTCTTAAATTATAACTAGTATAGTGGTTCCTTAGCTTGTAGATGGAAGAGACGGAGAATCACTTGGACCACGTGGGTTTCTTATACTAGGTTACGACATGATGAATACCAAGTCTTGTGCAGCACAATAAAAAAATAAACTGATTTTATGTATTATTTAGTTGGTAGAAGTTACTAGAACAATCTAGTGGTTTACGCCTGAGGCTAGGTGCGTCCTTATCCCTCCAAGATTGGTCAACCTGCCACGAGGGTCAACGTAGTTCTTAAGAGCGTTGATCCTCCTCTGTTCCGGCGACCCTAGGATCCCCGTCTACCCACGCCGTCAATTCTTGCCTTATCTTCTAAACTACAAATTACAGTTATTTTTATTCAGTAAACTTATTATTTTATTCCGAAGTGGGTATTTATTAAATTATAAAGTACAACAAGCAATGATACCGAAGTCCGTTTTATTTTCTCAAGGATTTACTGTACTTATGGGCATTCAAATATACAGTACAGTACACTGGAAACTTCTGTAATTAGTTACCATTTTTAGATAAGTAATTAATACATTACCATGAAGAAGCTTGTAGTGTCAAAGGGGATTATTAATAATATTTATCACAAATTAATTTAATGGGATTGTACTGCCATAATATAACTCTAATTCCTGTTCACCTCTCGCTGCTGATCGACTAATTGTTAACTGCTTTGGGCGCACTGTTAGCAAATACTGGGGCATGTGCTGTACTGGTTTCAAAGTGTATCTGTACCAGCATCAGTGTTGGTTAAATCTGTCTTGAATAAGCCGCCAAACACTCTCCAACAGATTACAGCATTTCAAGAATTCATAACTCTTACTACCCCCCAAAATTTACTCTGACAGTTTTCTGAACTTGTGGCCTCTTCAACTTGACCCTTAGTTGGATGGGCATCTGCTAGTTTAATTATTCTTTTGAGATTCTGAAATATGTCCATTTATCTCTTTGAACAACAGTCTCTTAAATTGATGCTTTATGACCGAGGGTGCAGACAATGCTGTGTTACTGGTAGCACTCGGCCAGAAGGAACAGAGTAGGAAAATCTTCTTCGTGTGTCTTCCAATATTCCAGAGAATCACTAACCGGACCTCAGGTATGCATGGAAGCATCCAGGTATCTTTCTTTTTTACTTTTATTCTCTTCTCCGCTAATCGGCTAATTAGCCGCTTGGGAGGTCAGTCACGTTTCTGTAATGTACTGTTGGAAAGCATCAAAGTACTAGGTATGCATTGGCTCCTGAATGTATCTGTACCTGCGCCAGTGATGGCCTAGTCTGGTCTTGAAAGAGCTCACACTCGGTGCCGTCACATCACTCTATGGCAGATTGTTCCAAGAACTCATTGCTCTCACACGAAAAAGTTTGCCCTCACAATTTTCTGGACTTGTGGCTTCTTCAGCCTTGAGCTGTGACCCCTATTGGACGGGCATCCGCCAGCTCCAGATATGGACACTCAACTGAATACACGTAGTGCCCTCTGAGATGCTTATAACTTTAATTAAGTCACCCCTTGTTTGTCTATGCTATAATCTAGGCAGTTGCAGGCGTTCTAATCTCTCTGGGTAACTGAGGTGCCATAGCGCAGGCACCAGCCTGGTGGCCCTCCTTTGGACAATTTTAGTCAACTGACAGTCTGTAACATATCTGGGGGAACAGACAGTGACCGTACTCCAGGCGGAGAAGTACCTCACTCTTGAAGAGCGTTACGAGAAACAGGCCGTTTGCACTATAGATAACTGAACGACCTTTTTATGAGACCTAATACAGTAATTTAATTGCTTGATTCAGAGATTTATAAACAAAGCATCAAAGTCACGTGGGCAAGTTATCTAACATGAAGACATTCCTTGATGTCAATCATTCATCACTTGAATCCCCTTCTTCCCTCTCAGAAAAAGGTGGAGTCCAAGGATTGTTACAGTCTCCCCTACACCCACATGCAAGAGAGCATGATAACTGGTTTTCGTTGCATGTGCATTTTCCTGAGGTGCATTTTCCAGTCTTACAACTACATGTTAATACCTCGGAACAAATTGTTGGCATTGGATTTAAATGTCTCAGTGTGGGCACTAAAGTGTTGCTTGGACCCATTTCCCACCCAGATTCTTCTGGGTTTGTGATATCTGGCTTCAGTGGCGTAGGGGACCGATTTTTTTTTTCGGGGGAGAGAGAGAGAGGGGGGGGGGGGCAGGGAAGGAAGCTTTGCCCGAAAAAAATAGGTGGAACCAAAAATGGCTTTCCAGGTCACATTTTCTAAGTTATAGGTACACAGTACATAAGTGTACAATGACTATCGGGATAGGAGACCAATATATGGTAGTGACTGGAAATGAACTAAGATAACAGAATGTCAAGTAATGGAAGTGCTCCCTCAGTGTCTGCAGTGTACAGTAGCTACAGAGAATAATACCAGAGTTCAATCGTGGCCTTTTTCCACATATTTTGAGCGCCAAAAAAAGGGTTAATCACTATCATGAAAGGGAACTCAAAACATTCATTATCGTGAATGGAATGTGAACTAATTGTTTATGGAACTGTCCCTTAGTCAAGTGATGACCTATTTGGACAGTCCTAGAAAAAGAATTAGTCCCAGCCTTTACGTCTGCCAAAGATGTCAGTAATAAGGTGCATTTCTGAATTAAATATTTGATTTGTGTAAGCACTTTCATTGTTAATTTTCGCTCTTGACCCATGGCATTCCTTAAATCTTCAGCCGTCGGAAGACACTGAACGACCTCTCCACAGAGCATGACGTTACAGGAATGTGGCCAAAATACTAACAACTTTGTAGAACACTGGTACTACTTCATGCAGTTCATTCTGACACATTGTGTTGACCATAATTGCTGATGTTTTCATCTCAGGACACGAGGCCTTATTGTCATGCAGAAACTTCAAATAAATTTTCTTTTCGGTTTCTAGTAGATTCCTATACAACCCATACTAGCTTGTAATATCATAACTTCTTTTTCTGGAAATGCATTCATGACAATATCACCCAGTCTACACAAAACATCCTGGTCATTGCCATAGAATCTTGACTTGATTTCAAGGAGCACCTTGTCTAAACTTCGATAGTACGTCGACACACGATAGTGATTTTTAGCAGTTTGCGCGAGTGAGATGTTGCCTCCTTCTGATTCTGGGGAGCCTAGCTTCCTTGAATGAGAAACATGTGTCCTTGATCCACTCGGTAATAGTGTCCCTGAGGTCTTCCGCTGACTGCCATATTGCACTAAAACCCTTTCATTTCGACTGACCTTCAGCGCTTTCATCGCCGAATCAGCTGTTTTCTGTGCAGCTGTCACATCGATTGTCTGTCCTTGCAGATATCTACTGAGATTACTCATATTCAGTAGTAGTTTCTTGAGCAGTACCAGTGCAAATACAAAAACAAAATTACAAACTGGATTCAGCAACGCATTGCTATAGGCATGTGTTTTTGCGTCACGATCATCTGCCAGTTTCAGGAGCACCTTGCTTATCTTTGGCATTTGGTCGATCACTGCCCTGACTGCCTCGCAACAACAAGACAATTTCATAACATTTTGAGATTTGAGTGTCCGGATTATGTGCTCACCATCCACCTCAGCATCACTAAGCATGACATCACATTTAAGAGTTGCTTCCAGAAAGTTATATAAGTGCGTTGCGGAGTGGCTCAATCTCAGTCATAGAATAGCAAAATTCAGCGAATGCCCATACTAGCAGTGAATATAAGTTACCTTCGGTGAACATTCCTTCATTTGTGCTACAAGATCTCTGTATACCCATTTCATGTTCAAGGCGCCGTCAAAGAATGCGCCAACAATGTCACTCAACCAGGTAGTAGGTAGAAGGCAGCTATCAGACAGGGAGGTACTATCGCCTGGGAAGATATTAGAAGCATGATGTGTTGTCTAATGGTAGACCCTGCTGCCATATGGCATCACGAAAATTGTGACCAAGTCCCAGGTTATTTATCTGGCTTTCTGTCTCACTTACACACAATTGCAGGGTCTCAATTGTTTATCTTATTTTGTCAACACAACATACATATATTGTTTCGCACTATTAATGTTTTTTGTGTATTTGTTATGGTCCTTTATTATTAATATTATTATTATTATTATCATTATCATTATTATCATCATCATTATTATTATTTTATTATTAAATTTTTGTATTAAATTTTATTAATTTGTATTTATTATTATTATTATTATTATTATTATTATTATTATTATTATTATTATTATTATTATTATTATTATTATTATTATTATTATTATTATTATTATTATTATTATTATTATTATATTTTCGCCCCCTTGGCCCTGTTATATTTTTCCCCCTCAGGCCCTAATGTGGGTCATTGACCTGTGCCCTGGTGGGCTAACCCCGTAAAAAAAAATGGATCTCGTTTTCCAGACACCCTTCACAAATTCATAAGAACTTTCCCTTCAGTGGAAGGAGTCACGTAGAAACCAACAAATGTCTCCTTGGTCATGCCTTCATAAATAAATCTTAAACACATTGCAATTTCTCTGTTCTTCTAATGTCTGAGGTTTCATCCATGTTGAAGGAGACTTGCCCGCTTTCCCTTGC